ACAACAACAACAATCTAGTTCATTAGGAGTTCTTGTGGCATAATAGATAGCTGGTTGAGCTGCTAACCTTAAGGTCAGCAGTTCGAAACTACAGGCTGTCCCATAGGAGAAAGATGAGGTTTTCTGCTCCCATAAAGATTTGTAGCCTTGGAAACCCTATACAGGGTCCATATGAGTTGGAACCGATTCCATGGCACATAACCACCACCAACAACAACCAGTTTAGTTCATTGAAACCCTTGAGTTCATGCAGGATCCCTGATGGCACAGTGGTTAAGCACTTGGTTACTAACTGAAAGGTCAGTGGTTCAAACCCACCAGTGGCTCCATGGGAGAAAGATGAAGCAGTAGCCTTCCATAAAGATTTACAGCCTCAGAAATCCTATACTCTGTCTTACATACAGGGTTACTGTGAATTAGAATCGATTTGACAAGTCTGGGTTGGGTTTGGGCTCATGTAGCATCAGCTCCCCACTTTCTCTGTGGTCTGCCTTTCCCTAAACACAGTTAGTTCTTCCTTCAGACATCATAAAAGTCTATTTAAAAAACAATTTTATTAGGTAAGATTAATCTCTGTTCATCTTATTCTGGAAAAAAATATTATTCTCCCTAGTCAGATCCTGATGTTTACAACACCTCTCCCTTTTTAACTATTCCAAAGTAAAATTTCTCCTTTTTGCTCTACTTTCATCCCCCAACCTGATGTTTATTTGTTTGTTTTTCCTTTTAAGAGTGTAGATATTTAAAATAAAATATGGAAGATAATTTGTCTTCACACCCAGTTCCTTTTCACTAATATGTAAAATCCTAGGAATAGGTATGACATAGTGTGTGTGGTATCCTATATAGAACTATTATGATGTTGGAATCTGCAAATAGTCAAGCAATCAGTTACTGTTGTTTTTTTAAAATCAGTAAAGCAGCTAAGGGAACTAGCCAAGTAGCAGATGTTGACGTATCATCTCATTGTAGGGGATGTGTTTGTTAGATTTAATCTATTGTTATTTGTTCTAACAGCAAACTGTTCAACCACCTGCTTTAATGGAGGGACTTGTTTCTACCCTGGAAAGTGTATTTGCCCTCCAGGACTCGAGGGAGAACAGTGTGAAATAAGTGAGTATTGGTCTTCTGCATTCTCCTCACTTAACACAATATGATTCTTGAAACTCACAAGCTGTTCCTTGGAAACCCTATACAGGGTCGCTATGAGTTGGAACCGACTCCACAGCACACAACTACCAGCAGATACTTCATCTTGTTGTAGTTGTTGAGTCCAATTTATGGCAACTCCATGTGTTGCAGAGTAGAACTGTGTCCCACAGAGTTTTCAAGAGTGTGACCTTTCAGAAGCAGATTTCCACGACTGTTTTTCAAGGTGGGCTCAAACCACCAACCTTTTCGCTAGTAGTAGAGCACTTAACAGTGACACCCAAGGATTTCTAGACACTTACTCTAATTCCTTCAGGATTCTGAATGAATAGCTTGTTTAAGGCCTTAAACCAGTGGCTTCTTTTCATTCATTATGAATAATGGTGAAGGAAAGAATGATCTGGCTTACCTCAGAGGACTTGGAACAAGTGCTTTCTGACTCAGTTATGACTGGATTTGAATTATTCAGCATGTTGTGTTGTTTCTTGATAGTGATTTTTGGTCCTTGTTTATTATTCAGAGCCCTTAGCTTTAGCCCTAGAAATGCCTATAAGAACTCTGGAATAGTTGGGATTTGTTCACCTATCCCCAGGCATAGAAGATTTCTTACCTGTCCTTCACTGCCAGATATTCTGGATTAGTCTGAGTCTAATAATCTGTGTATGATAAAAAGGCAGACCCAAGAAAAGGGAGGGAAAAGAGAATGTGTTGCCAGCAATAAAAGAGGATAAACTTCTAGTGCCCACACGTAACAACAAGAATGAGTCTCATACACATTATGTTGAGTAAAAGGAGCTAGGCACTAAAGATGCATACTGCGTAATTCCATTTTTGTGAAGTTCAAGTGCAGGCAAAACTAAAGATAGACAGTAGACATCAGAATGCTGAGGGCATGAAGGAACTTCATGAATGCTGAAAATGTTTTATAGCTGGATTAGAAAAGTATCATATGAGTGTCTATGGAAAAAAAATTACCTGTACACTTAAGATCAGTACCCTTCATGCCTTCTTTAAAGGAGCCCTGGTGGTGCAATGATTAAGTACTCTGCTGTTGTCTGGAAGGTCAGAAGTTCAAACCCACCAGCATTTCCATGGAGAAAAGATCTGGTGATCTGTCCTGGTAAAGATTTCAGCCTTGGAACTCCTTTGGGGGCAGTTCTATTCTGTCTTATAGGGTCATTAGTAGACAGAATCAACTCAACAGCACACAACAACAACAGGTGTATGTCATGCCTCAATAATAAAAATTAATAAATTTTCTAGGGTAATGTACATAAACAATTGTTTTGGGACTCTATCCCAAATGAGGTGTCCTGGTTCTTTCATCTAGCAGCAATGTAACTGTCAGTTAACCTATTAAACTCAGAAATGAGCCAACCCCATCTGGGTTATGACCCAGGCAATGGCACAAAGGCGGAGCAGAGGAACATGAGACACCTGCTGAAGGTGTTATGTCTCTCTCTTCTGATACGTGTAAAGGGAAACTGGGTCAGTATTCTCATTTCCAGCTGCATTATAGGCACTAAAATACCATTGCATTTGATACACCTTCATTTCTGAACTTGTTGTTGTTGTTAAGTGCTGTAACATCATTTCCAACTCATAGTGAGCCTGTATAGGGTTTCTGAGGAGCAACTGGTGAGTTTGAATCACCAACCTTGTAGTTCAAGTGAACTTGCAGTCCAATGCTTACCCTACAGCACCTCACTATGACTCCGAAGTTGTTGTTGTTAAGTACCATCAAGTCGGTTCCAACCCATAGCAACCCTGTATAGGGTTTCCAAGGAGCGACTGGTGAGCTTGAACTGCTGACCTAGTGGTTTAAACTGACTTTGCAATCCAGCACATTAACCCACAGCACCATACCAGGAGTCCGAAGTTGCTGTGGAGTCAAAAAATTCTGACTTCTTATTTTAACTTTGCTTTAATTTATTTTTTCTTATACTTTCTAATGGAGTCCTGGTGTGGCACTGTGGAATAATGTACTGGACCACAAGGTCCTTTTGAACTGAAAGGTTGGTGATTCAAATTCACCAGCTGCTCCTCGGAAACTCTATATGGTCGTCATGAGTCGGAACTGACTTGACAGGACTTAACAATAACAGCTATACTTTTTAATGAGCAGTAGTTGAAGAAACCAGATTTTACTAGGTTCAAATGAAACACCTTTTAAGTTTATACAGAACACATATTGAATTGTCAGGAGTGGTTTCTATTCTTTTTATTAATCCTTCTCTCCTGGTGTAGTGTTGTAGGATAAGCACCGAACTGCTAACCCAAAATTAGGTGGTTCAAATCCACCAGTCACTCCTTGAAGACCCTATACAGGGTCACTATGAGTCAGAACTGACTTGAAGGTATTTAACAACAGCAACCACTGACAAAAATATCTATGACGTCATTTCCAACTCATAGCGACCCTGTATAGGGTTTCCGAGGAGCAGCTGGTGAGTTTGAATCACCAACCTTGTAGTTCAAATGAACTTGCAGTCCAGTGCTTATCCTACAGCACCGCACTAAGACTCCGAAGTTGTTGTTATTAAGTGCTGTCGAGTCGGTTCCGACCCATAGCGACCCTGTATAGGATTTCCCAGGAGCAGCTGGTGAGCTTGAACTGCCAACCTTGAAGTTCAAGTGGCTTTCCAGCCTGGCGCATTAACCCACAGCGCCACACCAAGACTCCGTCTATGAACTTCTTGTTGTTGTTGTTAAGTACTGTGGAGTCGGTTCTGACTCACAGTGACCCTGCATAGAGTTTCCGAGGCTGTAAATCTTTACGGGAGCAGAACGCCTCATCTTTCTCCTGTGGAACCGCTGGTAGTTTCGAACTGCCGGACCTTCAGGTTAGCAGCCCGATTCGTAACCACTACGCTACCAGAGCTCCTTTGAACTATGAACTAAACCCCCTCAATTCTCTCTTCATGCTTTCTCTCAGACTTTGAATTCTAGGTTGGTTCATGTTAATGAATCTTTGTTAATGGGTTAATTTCTCACCCTATGAGTATGCCATTGCATGCCCTTGTTGTTTTCTGGTGCCATTGACTCATAGCGTCCCTATGACCAACAGAACAAAATACTGCACCATACTCACTATTGCTGCCACTGTGTCAGTCCATCTCACTGAGGGCCTTCCTCTTTTTTGCTAACCCTCTACTTTACCAAGCATGGTGTCCTTCTTCAGGTACTGGTCCTTACTGAAAACATGTGCTTACTTCTGTGGAACATTCTGGCTGTACTTTTACCAAGACATGTTTGTTTGTTCTGACTGCTGCTGCGGCTGTGTGCCATGGAACTGGTTACAACTTATAGTGATCTTCTTCCAAAGAGTGGCTGGCGGACTCAAACTGCTGACCTTGTAGTTAGCAGCCCAATGTATAACCCACTACACTCCCAGGGCTCCTTGTTCCTCTGGCAGTTCGTGGTATGTTCAATAGTCTTAGCCAACGCCATAGTTTAAATGCATCAATTCTTCTCTGATCTTTCTTATCCATTGTCCAGCTTTCACATGCATATGAGGTGATTGAAAATATTACATGAGTCAAATACATCTTAGTTCTCAAAATGACATCTTTGTTCTTGAAAACTTTAAAGATGTCTTTTGCAGCAGATTTGCCTAATATAATGCATCATTTGATTTCTTGACTATTGCTTCCATAAGCATTGACTCTGTATTCAAGCAAAATGAAGTCTTTGACAACTTCAATATTTTCTCCATTTATCATGATGTCAATTATTGGTCCAGTTTAGTTTTCTTTACATTGAGATACAATCCATACTGAAGGCTGTATGAAGTACTTGATCTTCATTAGTAAGTACTTTAAGTCCAAGGCCATTTCACTTTCAGCAAGCAAGGTTGCTAATAACTCTTCCTCCAATTCTGATACCATGTTCTTCTTCATATAATCCAGCTTCTCAGATTATTAGGTCAGCATACAGATTAAATAAATATGGTGAAAGGATACAACCCTGACACACACCTTTCAGTATCCCTTGTTCCCTTGGAATAATTGCCTTTTGTTTTATACATATGGTCTTTATGACCAAAACAAATGTTCTATGGATAAACAATGTTATCCATAGAACAAACTATGATCCACACAGTTGAATATGTTTGTATAGTCAATAAAGCATAAGTAAACATCTTTCTGGTATTTTCTGCTTTCACCCAACATCCATCTGACATCAGCAATGATATCTTTTGTTTCATGTCCTCTTCTAAATCCAGCTTAAACTGTGGGATAAAGTACTGGATCTCAAGGTCGGTTTGAACCACAAGGTAAGCAGCTCAAATTCACCAGCTACTCCTTGGAAACTGTATACAGGGTGGCTACGAGTCAGAACTAACTCAATGCCACTTAACAGCAACAACAACAACCTGTAGATATATTGCTGCAACTGAATTTTACTGAAGTAAAATTTTACTTGTATAGGATATTCATGATATTGTTCCATGATTTCTGTATTCCACTGGTTCATCTTTCTGTGGATTGGTCACAAATATGGATCTCTTCCAATCAGTTGGCCAGATCATAACATTTTACTTTGTTTTCTTGAACTGCCCTTGGAAGTTTTCTGTTCATCTCTTGTACTTCATCATTTCTTCCTGTTGTTTTAGCTTCTTTATATTCAAGAGCAAATTTCAGAGTCTCTTCTGACATCCATTTTTAGTCTTTTTTTTCCTGTCTTTTTAATGAGTCTTTGCTTTCTTCATGCATGATTTTCTTCATGTTATTTACAATTCTTCTGGTTTTCATTTAGTAGTATCTAATGCATCCAATCTATTCTTGACATGGTCTCTAAATTTGGGTAAGATATACTCAAGGTCATATAGTGCCTCCCTTCGATTTGTTTTAGTTTTCTTCAGCTTCAGCCTGAAATTGCATATGACCAATTAAGGAGGGTCTGTTCCACAGTCAACCCCTGACCTTGTTTTCACTGATGATTTGGAGCTTCTCCATAGTCTCTTCCCAATGATGTGGTCATTATGATTCCTGTGTATTCCATCCAGTGAGGTCCACATGTACAGTCACCATTTATTTTGTTGAAGAAGTTATTTCTATCAACAAGGCCTTATTTTCCAACCACTGATCCTTCCTTTTTGTTTTCAACTTTTGCCTTCCAATCACCAGTATTTATCAATGCATTTTGAGTGTAATTTCAGACAGAAGAAGTTGGTAGAATTCTTTAATTTCCTCATCATTGGCTTTAGTAGTTGGTGTGTAAATTTGAGTAATAGTGATATTAATTGGTCTTCATTGTTATTGTTGTTGTTGAGTGCTGTGGAGTGCTGAATTATAGTGACCCTGTATAGAGTTTCCGAAGAGTGGCTAGTGGTTTTGAATCACCAACCTTGTGGTTAGCAGTTCAGTGCTTATCCTACAGTGCTTATGTTACCAGGACTCTGATCTTCTGGGCATATGGATATTATTCGATCACAGACAGCATTGTACTTCAAGATAGGTCTTGAAATGCTCTTTTTATTATGAATGCTATGCCATTCCTCTTCAGTTTGTTGTTCCTGGTATGTGATTGTCCATTTCAAAATAGCCAATACCAGCCTATTTCAGCTTATTAATACCTAGGGTATTGATCTTTATGCCTTCCATTTAGTTTTTGATGACTTCCAGTTATCTTAGATTCATACTTTGTACATTCAATATCCCAGAAATTAATAGATGTTTGCAGCTTTTTCTTCTCATTTTGAGTTATGCTCCATCAGTAAATGAAGGTCCTGGAATATTTGCTCTAGCCACATCGTTAAGGTCAACTCAACTTTGAAGAAGCAGCTCTTCCCCAGTGGTATTTTGAGGGCCTTCCAAACTGAGGGACTCATCTTCTGGCAGCAGTGTATCAGACAACATTCAGCTGCCATTCATATGGGTTTCAGTGGCTAGCCTTTCAGCAGTGGTCCACCTCTCCTTCTTCCTAGTCTGCCTTAACCTGGAAGCTCTGCTGAAATCTGTCCATCGTGGGTGCTCCTATTGGTATTTGAAATACCAGCATTCCAGCAACACACATGTGATCACATTATGACAAAGTGACAGTCAAGTGGTGGTGCATACCCTTAGATTTTATGAATTTTCTGTTGCCAGGTAAAATGTATCTGTTGGAAAATACAGTTTTGACAGATACCTAAATGTGAATTGATGACTGACATTGTCATATGTTTTATCTGAAATCCTCTTAGAAAATATCCTGTTTCTATTTTTACTCAGAGGGTGAGTAAAAAATTATCCACACTCTGCCTGTAGAATTTATTTTAATCAACTTTTAGAAAAGACAAATACATCATTTTTGACATAATCTCCGTGCTTTTCAATACTTTGTTCATCTGTCAACAAGTTTTCGCATTTCCTTATTAAAAAATGTTTTAGGTTGAGCTGCGAGCCACAAATGCATTTAGTCCTCAAACTGACATCTTTGCTCTTTAACACTTTACAGAGGTCTTGTGCAGCAGATTTGCCTAATTTAATACGTGGTTTGATTTCTTGACTGCTGCTTCCATAAGTGTTCATTGTACAGCCAATCAAAATCTAATTGCTATTTTTTTCTCTTTGTGGTTAGGTAAACAATGCTATACTTTTTTACTTCTGCCTTAAAACTTATGCTTTAGGATAGTAAATTCTAGACTTGTTAAGTGCCATTGAGTTGGTTCCAACTCATAACAACCCTATAGAGAGTTTCTGAGGATAAGCTAGTAGATTTGAACCACCAACCTTGCAGTTAGTAGTCTAGTGCTTATCCTATAGTGCCACACCAGGACTCCAAATTTTAGACTACAGAGGTAGAATGAATAGACTTTGGAGTAAGAAATTTAAAAAATTGCATACTTTTATATATCTAAGATTCAAAGATCTGTGAAAAACATTAGCAATACTTATTTGGGGCAAAGCAAAAAAAGAAAAGGAGAACATATTGTTAGGATCTGAGATATAAATAAACATAGCAAGTAGCCTGTTTTTTCCAAAAAAAGAAAGACTCAGTATAAAAACTATAATAGAAGTGACATAAAGGGAAATGCCTGCTATTTGAAAGGATTTTTCGTCTCAAAGCTTTATGATTCCCTTGGAAAAGGTAAATGCCTTCATATGAACCACTGAGTTTCTTGTTTATTTATCTGCTTCTCTGTTTCAGGCAAATGTCCACAACCCTGTCGAAATGGAGGTAAATGCATTGGTAAAAGTAAATGCAAATGTTCCAAAGGTTACCAAGGAGACCTCTGTTCAAAGCGTAAGTACTTCCTACACATAATCAATCTTGGTGACGGGATAATTAAACTAGCAGTCGTCTCATAACTTCTGTGCCTCCTGCCTGTTGCCTGGGCACATAGTCCATCCTTCTTCACAAACACATATACACCTTTATGTGGACCCAAAGAGTTGTTTGAAATCCATACATGTTAAGAAAACTTACAAACAGTCACACACACACAATACAACTTTTTAACTTTGAGGAGTTTCCTAAAGGAAAATAAATTTCTCTTGCCCACCTGTAACAAAAGTTTACTAACATCTATTGTGCATGTGAAATGTACACAGAGCTTTTACAAAAAAGTCCAAAACTGACCTATAGCTGGAGATTAATTTAGGAAAAACTACAAATAAATCAGGGGTTGAAGTCAAAAGAACCTCCGGATAAGTAGCTGTGCAATTCTGTTAAAAAACGAAAGCTCAAAAAGCCATTCTTTTTATCTCCCGTAATTCCAGCTGTCTGTGAGCCTGGCTGTGGTGCACATGGAACCTGCCAAGAACCCAACAAATGCCAGTGTCTTGAAGGCTGGCATGGAAGACACTGCAATAAAAGTGAGTAGGAACCCATCTGGGAAACCTTTCATTCTCACTTCTGCTATAAGGGATACTGGTGGTATTGTGGGTTAGACATTAAGTTACTAGCCAAGGGGTCAGCAGTTCAAACCCAGAAGCAGCTCCATAGGTGAAAGATGAGGCTGTTCATGCCCGTAAAGATTTACTGTCTTGGAAATCCTCTGTGAGCTCTGTAGGATCAGCACTGAATTGCTAATCACAGGTTGGCAGTTCAAACCCACCAGCTGCTCTAGGCAACCCTACACAGGGTTGATATGATTCAGAACTGACGTAATGGCATACAACAACAACCTAAGGAATTGACATGATGGCTGTGGGTTTGCTTTTGGTTTGGATTTTGGCTCCAAAGATTAGTCCATCACCAGTTGCCATCCAATTAATTCTGATTCATAGAGACCACATTCATGTCAGAATAGAACTATGATTAAGTCTCCAGCCTTCTCTCCTGAGGTGTTTCTGTGTTGACTCATAGCTGCAACCTTTCAGTTATTACCAACCTCATTAATTGTTTGCACTACCCAGGGACTCCTAATGATTAGTGGACAACCCGTAATTCAGCCTGGCCTTCCATTACATCAAAGCAACTTCTTATCTTACTCTTTCTCCCCACTCCCAATGCTCTAAATTTTAGAGTCTATATTTAGAGTATAAAGAGTAATTTATCATTGCAAAAATAGCACCACAGATATTTTTAGGTGAAATTGGAAGTGCAGACTATGAAGACAATTACAAGTAAATTTTGAGATTTTCAATTAAATGTAGCATCAATATCTAGTTGACTCTGGTCTTATCATTCAGAATTTTTAAGCTAGCGCATAAAACATGGAGCCCTGGTGTGGTGCTGGAGGATAAACACTGAACTGCTAACTCAAAGGTTGGCTGTTCCAACCCACTAGTCACATTTAGAAACCCTATATAGGATCACTGTGTGTCAGAAGCAACTCAACGTCACACAACAACAATATAAAAACATGAAGAATTTTTCTTTTTAAAAGCTTTGTTTTATTGACTACAGAATGTTTGGAATGAGTTTGGGAAGAAAAGGTCTTTAAGAATTCTGTGGGACAGGGAAATATTTGAGTTGCATTATTTTCAAATTTACTGACTACCAAATATGAACTAGCTATGTAGACAAAGCTATGTAGACAAAAAACTGGCTTATTTGATACACAAAATGAAAACTTGTTAAATACAGTCATTCAGCATGTATTAATACTGTACACATATAACCACCACCACCACCATAACTAGGTGTTAGAAATTCAACACTGTGCAAAACTAGGTGTTAGAAATACAACACTGAGCAGAACAAAAAGGCTTTGCCAGAGAGACAGTCAATGAACAAATGAACAAAATCAGCAGTGCAGTTTCTGTAAATCTGGTACCTAGAAGTCATCCTTCTAAGAATGTGTCCACTGTCCACTCGCCAAAGAAAGGCAGACCTCAGTCATTCAATACTCTTAAAAAACAAAAGCCAGCATTATCTATAATACTGCAAAACAGGGGACAAAACTTGAGAAAGTCACTTACGTATCAGATGTTATTCTAGAGCAAAGGCATCCAAAGGGTAGTGTTTGTACTCTAGTGGGCATGGAACCAACTAGTTGGGGTTTTGTTATTGTTGGGTGTCGTTCACTCAATTCTAACCAACAGTGACCCCATAAAACCAGAGGATTTTTTTAGAAACACTGGCAGATTGCCAGGATTTCCCCTGGGTGTTTTGAACCTGCAACCTTTTGGTTAGTAGATAAACATTTTATAGTCAAGCCACTAGGATCCTTAATCAATTGGGAAGTATTAATTTTAGTATACTTTATTATTATTTTACTTATGTAGTATATTATATTAAATGTTTGTATGCATCTCATTCTTCTAACTTCTAATTTGGGGGCATATTTTACAATGTTGGCATTATGGTAGTAGTACAAATCTATGTAATAAATGTATATGTGTGCATAAATATTTATTTTATTTAAAGTAGTATCTAGTCTGGCGGTGATATGCCTTGGAGTCTGTTCCAACTCACAGTGACCCTCCATGGGGTTTCTGAGGCTGTAAATCTTTATGGGAGTGGCAAGCCTCATCTTTCTCCCATGGAACAGCAGGTAGTGGAATAATAGCTGGTAGTTTCGAACTGCTGACCGTGAGATGAGCAGCCCTACTCTTAACCACTACGCTACCAGAGTTCCTTGGTACCTGGTCTGTGCTACACTAACACATTCATTTTATTCCTTTTCACCCACTGAATTGACTGAGTTGTTGATAAAATAAGTTTCAGGTGGGCACAACCTAATAACACACATGTAGCACTTTTGAAAAATACTTCTTTACCCAGGTGATAATGGTTGAATGGCATCCCTTCTCAGGACATAGGGGAAAGCCTTCTTTGGACTAAAAGACCCATAGGAGACGAGTCATTTCTGTAGTCAATTTTGGAAAAGAATAAGCCAGACCCTTTATGCAACCCTTAACTGAATACTCAAGGCTTGTTCCAGAATCAGTTGAACTTTTCAGAAGTCCTTGGTTCCAGGGATGACCTGAAATATAATCATACATCCCCGGACTCAACTACAAGTGTCTTCTAGGGCCCACATCTGGGCCTGATGACTATCAAGAGTGGTGAAGAGATGAACACAAGGGATACAGTTCGTGCTGGTTTATTGGTCACTCCACCAAAAAGGAGCCTGGTAGCATAGTAGGTTACAAGTTGGACTGCTAACCTCAAGGTCAGCAGTCCGAATCTACCAACTGCTCTGTGGGAGCAAAATGAGGCTTTCTGCTCCTGAAAAGATTTACAGCAGAGGTGGGGAATCTTTTTTTCTGCCAAAATTCATAACATAATTTTCAGACTCTACAAATTCATCAACTTAAAAATTAGCCTACTCATGTAAACTATCACTCAATTCACAATAAAAACTTAAAAAAATTTTTTAAAAAATAGCTTACTATATTTGACCACACGTTTAATTAGCTCACATCCTAATGTGATGGCAGGAAGCTCTGGTAGCATAGTGGTTACGAATCGGGCTGTGAACTGCGAGGTCAGAAGTTCGAAACTACCAGCTGTTCCGTGGGAGAAAGATGAGGCTTTCTGCTCCCATAAAGATTTACAGCCTCGGAAACCCTGTGTAGGGTTGCTATGAGTTGGAACCGACTCCACGGCACTTAACAACAACGTGATGGCGGGTATGGCGCTGTGGGTTAATGCACTGGATTGCAAAGTCGGTTTGAACCATAAGGTCGGTGGTTCAAGTTCACCAGCTGCTCCTCAGAAACCCTATACAGGGTCATTATGGGTCAGAGCCAACTCCATGGTACTTAACAACAACAACAATGTGATGGCTGGATCTGTGGTTGCTTTGGCAGCACCAGACCAAATGATATGGCAGGTCTTAGAAGGCCCCCATTCCCCACCCCTGACAGCCTTGGAAACCATATACAAGGGTCACTATGAGTTGGAACTGACTCAGAGTCACACGATCACCTACCCTAAAGAAGGCAAATAGAAGACCCTCATGTACAGATGAGGTGGTCCACAAAAAGTGCCCCTGTTTGTAAACCATGCTGCTCGGAGCTTTTTTCAATCAGTGTTGCTCTGTCAGATCTAAGCATTACATCAAGAAGATGCCCTAGTGCTTGATTAAAATGGGTTGTGTTTTTTTTGGAGAGGCCACATTAGTAGAGAGAATCAAGTTGAAAGAATGTGCTTTATTTTGACTAAAGGGTACTGATAATGAGGAAGTTTTGAGGCACAGAGTTCTGCAAAGAACAGATTCTCTGTGGAGTGGCATGTTGGGAGGTCCTCGGCACCCAGTCATCTTTGTGGGGAATAGAATACTGGAGACAGACATCCTGCGTAGGCTCATCCTCACCAGCAGGGAGGTTTGGACTTCATGGGTGGCAGAGAGAGTGAGCAGCATGGTAGGGATTTACTCCAGTGTATTGTTGGCTCCAATTTTGACCATTCCATGGAGCTACTAACATACATGCTGACAATTCAAAGAAGCACATTCAGGAACAAAGTATTCTATTCTCAGTAGTTGTTTAATGGCATGCCCACATTTTAAATTCCCAAGAGACAAATGAAATGCCAAACTTGATTCTCAAGCACAGGAAGATGGCGAAGAGTTGTAAAACATATCCTCTGTCTTGTGTCAGTTTTAGGAAATGGGTAGAACTGAGTTACTGTCCTGAGCACCTCTAAAATTTCATCTTGAGTCTTTCCAAAAATTTGCAAGGAAGGGAAGTCTTTGACAGTTCTTAAATTGTGTAACTCGGTGTCACACTCATAACCTAGCTGGGAACAGATAGATGCCCACTTTGAACCTGACAAGGAGTTGATTCAAATCATAACTCTTTCTCTAACATGTGGAACAAATCCACCAAACCCACTGCCATCGAGTCAGTTTTGACTCCGAGTGACCCTGTAAGACAGAGTAGCAGAAGCACTGAATTCTTAGGAAATTCTTAGTTTGCACAAGTGCAATAGCCACACCCCGTCATATGATCTATATGAATGAAGAGTGGGATCTGTCATTTTGAATTGGATTGATATAATCTAGGTTGGTTTTGCAATGCAAAAGACCTCCGTGCTAGAGTACTACCAGCCCTTGGGTGGAGAATGGACTTCCACTCAATCACATTCTTCCAAACTGCATGACCACAAAGTCTTGTGAGTCAGAGATTCCATGGAGGCCAGATTTGATAGAGTTAGTAAAGAGGGTTTCTTCTGACTGAGTTCTTGAAGATGTAACGTCTCTTCATCCAGGTAGCTTTTTGTGGTCTTTGTGGTCTTTTACTCTAAGTTGAAAAGGGGAAACGGACTTCATTTGAATGGTTAGTAATGAATCTGAAGAGCCTGTTTTGTAGTTTCTTTTCTTTTAAGCTGTGAATAATTTTGCAGGGTATGGAGCCAACATCATGCATGCCCTGAGGTCAGCAGGCACCCAGCTCAGGCAGCACACGCCTTCACTTAAAAAGACTGAGGAACAGCAGGATCCACCTGAATCCAATTACATCTGGTGAACTCCGACATCTGAAACGTTTTAAGTTACACCAAGTTCATAGCCTTTGTTAACCTTTCATGTGTTGAATGTTCAAATAATGTTCATTACAGTTAAGAATACTGGCCTGAATTTTATTAGCTTCATTATAAATCACTGAGCTGATATTTACTCTTCCTTTTAAGTTTTCTAAGTACATCTGTAGCGTGATGGTATAGATTTTCTTGTTTCAGTGCTTTCGGACTGATTTTATATTGTCATTTGATCAGGTTAAAATGTTCTGTTTTCAGTGTGTAGTTGGCAGATAATTTTTGAAATTACAGTACATTCATGGTGTCCCAGGGCTGGGGGATATTGTTGTTGTTGTTGTTAAGTGCCGTAGAGTCCTACCCATAGCAACCCTGTATAGGGTTTCCAGGAAGCGGCTGGTGAGCTTGAACTGCTGACCTTGCAGTTCAAACTGACTTTGCAGTCCAGTGTATTAACCCACAGCACCACACCTGGACTCCTGGGGGATATTAGAGAAGATAAATTTGTCAAAAATGCAAAAATCACAAGAGTTTGAATGAAGCAGTTAATAGGGCTGAAGTTACACCAGTTCAAATTTTATTGTCATGTATTTAGATATTTCACATTTGTTTAGCTGTGCTTATTTTTTAACTTTTAAAACAGTATATTTTGACTTTACTATTTCAGAGAGCTTGATATTAAATAAAAGCAAACAAATGAACAAACAAACAAACAAAAACACTGTGGTAGTGGCATTTAAACAATATAATATATTGTAAACACAGTAAAATAGGGACTATAATGTATGAACTCCTTGCATTGGCTTGAAGCAATATAATATATTGTAAACAAACACAGCTCTTACATAATAGACGTTTTATACTATTTGTATGTATAAAATAAAGGTGCTGCTTTAGTTTTTCTGAGTGTTGTGTGGAATGATCTTTGCTTGTGCTATCTTAGGGAAATAAAGTTGGTTGCTGTTCAGTGACATTTGATACTTTTCAGTGCCATACAAATGATACTATTCTCTATTAGGTCTTCAGATAAATCCCTTCCTCCTAGCTCTGTAGTTCTGTTAGCAAGCTAATTTTTGGCATTGCTTCAAACTGATTGTCTCTAAAATATATCTTCCTCATTTATTTACAGATGAACTGTATGAATAAGAGATGCCAAAGGAGAGTTGCTGGCAGGGTTTAGCTTCTCATCTACCATCCCAGACAATTTGTCTCTGTCCCTAAATGCTATGCCCCTCTCTGCAAACAAAAACTCTACCGTTAAGTCCAGCCAAGCTACTCAGAGAAAAGTTTATTGAGCATCTCGTTACTTGACCGTGTTCCTTGAAAATCTTAACATCACCTCAAGTGACTTCTCAACGTATTCTCTTCAACCATATACAATAAAAGATCAAAGCCATTGTCGTTTAATCAATTCTGACTCATAGCCACCATACAGACCAGAGTACAACTGTCCCATAAGGTTCTTGTAACCTTTATGGAAGCAGACTGCCACATCTTTCTCCCACAGAGCTGCTGGTGGGCCCAAACCACTGATGTTTTAATTGGCAGCCGAGCACTTAACTATCACCCCACCAGGGTTTCCTACCATATTCAGTACTCCTAAAAGGAGTTTTGGTAACTAGACTTTGTTTTGCTCATCTCATGAATGATCATGATGATATAATTTTAGCTTGATACAGCATGCATTGTTGTTGTTAAGTGTCGTCGAGTCAGTTCTGACTCCTAGTGACCCTGTGTAGGGTTTCCAAGGAGCAACTAGTGGGTTTGAACTGCCAAACTTGTGGTTTGCTGTCCAGAGCTGATCCCACAGGGCCATGCCAGGAGCCAGCTCTGATTGAGAGCAAAAAGAAATGTCATTTAATGAGTTCTCACAAGAGATTGAGTGTCATGTAATATTCAGTGCTCTCAGTAATATGGACAATTGTAGCAGATAAGATTGCTTATTTTCATATTCTTCAAGAAGGCATAAATAACCACAATAAAGTACAGTTTAAATAAAATAATTTCTGCTAAGATCTCATAGAGGAACGGAGAAAGGCTGATACAGTGAGGTGAGCAATTTTTAGTTTGGGTACAGACAAAACACTACCATTTCAGAAGAGTTTCCTAAAGCAAGAAAACCAAGGACTATCAAAAGACACGAGTCTTCTCACCACAAGTATTATAGGCAGTTTGTGCAAATGATACACGTATAAAATTTTAATGAACATATTGAATAAATGTCCTCCAAGTTAGTTGTTTTAGGTGCCCTCAAGTCAAAACGACACTATGTACAACAGAAGAAAACACTGCCCAGTCCTATGCCTCACAATTGTTATGTTTGACCCCATTGCTGCTGCCACTGTATCAATCCATTTTGTTGGGGGTCTTCCTCTTTTTCACTGCTCCTCCACTATACCAAAAATGATGCCCTTCTCAAGGGATTGGTCCCTCCTGATAATATGTCCAAAGTATGAGAGACAAAGTCCCACCTTCCTGACTTCTAAGGAGCATTTTGGCTGTACTTCTTCCAACCCAGATTTGTTTGTTCTTCTGGCAGTACATGGTACTTTCAATATTCTTTTCCAACATCATAACTCAAATGCATAAATTCTTCTCCGGTCTTCCTTATTCACTATCCAGCTATCACATGCATATGAAGCAACTGAAAATACCATCACTTGAGTCAGGCTCACTGAGTCCTCAAACTGTTATCTTTGTTCTCAAACATTTTAAAGAGGTCTTGTGCAGCAGATTTGCTTAATGCCATATATCTTAATTTTTTTTATTGCTGCTTCCATGAGTATTGACTATGAATCCAAGCAAAATGAAGTCTTTGACAACTTCAATCTTTTCACCACTTATCATGATGTTCTGTTTGAATGACTGCCTCATGAGTACAATTAAGTGTTCTGCAATACTCATTCTTAATTTATCCATAGTTTGTCATGATCCGCATAGCCCAAAACCTTTGCATAGTCTTCAAAGCACAAGTAGACACATTTCTGGTGTTCTCTGCTTTCAGTCAAGATTGATCTGATGTCAGCAATGATATCCCTAGTTCCATATCCTCTTCTGAACCTGGCTTGAATTCCTGGCATTTTCCTGTCTATGTACTGTTGGAACTGTTTTTGAAGTATATTCAGCAAAATTTTACTTATATGTGATAATAAAGATATTGTTTGATGGTTTCTGCATTCCATTGGGCTACCTCCCTTTGAAGTGGGTACAAATATTGGGGTCTCTTCCAACTGTCTTCCAAAGTTCTTGTCTGTACTAGTTCACTGAACAATTTCCATTAATGTTACATCAATTCCTGGAGTCTTGTTTGTTGCCAATGCCTTGAGAACAGCTTGGACTTCCTCCTTCAGTACCATTGGTACCATGCTACCTCTTGAAATGGTTGAACCTCAATGGTTTCTTTTTGGTACAGTGATTCTGTGTATTCCTTACATCTTCTCTTAGTGCTTTCTGCATCCTTCAATATTTTGCCCATAGAATCTTTCAATATTGCAACCTGAAGCTTGATTTTTTATTCCTCAGTTCTTTTAGCTTGAGAAATGCTGAACATGGCCTTCCCTTTTGGTTTTCTAACTCCAGGTGTTCACACATTGCGTTATAATACTTGATTTCTCTTATCAAGCTGCCCTTTGAAATTTTCTGTTCAGATCATTGACATCATTTCTTCCATTTGCTTAATCTTCTCTACCATTAAGAGCAAGTTCCAGAGTCTCTTATTTTACTTTTGTCCTTTCTTTTTTTAGTCTTTTAAATTTTGGTTTCTTCCTCTATGATATTCTTCATGTCATCCCACAACTCTTCTGATCTTCAGTCATTAGTGTCTAATACATTGAATTTATTCTTGAGATGGTCTCTAAATTCAGGTGGTATATATTCAAGGTCATATTTTGACTCTCATGGACTTGTTTTAATTTTCTTTAGGTTCGGTCTGAACTTGCATATTAGTGATTGATGGCCTGTTCCATAGTTGGCTTCTGGCCTTATTTTGGCTGGTGATATTGAGCTTTTCCAGTATCTCTTGCCAGAGGTGTAGTTAATTTGATTCCTATGTATTCAACTAGTGAGAGTCATATGTGTAGTCATCTTTTAAGTTATTTTAAAAAGGTATTTGCAATGAATAAGTAATTGGTCTTGCAAAACTCTTATTGTACAATTTCTAGCATCTCATGTATCTTCAAGGTCTAATTTTCTAATTACTGATTCTTCCTCTTTGTTTCCAACCTTCACATTCCAATCATCAATAATTATCAATGCATGCTGAGTGCAGCTTGATGAATTTCAGACTGATAAAGTTGGTAGAATTCTTCAGTTTCCTCATCATTGGCTTTAGTGATTGGTGTGTAAATTTGAATAATAGTGTTACCAACTGGTATTCCGTGTAGGTGTAGGGAGATTATCCTATTACAGACAGCACTGTACTTCAAGTTAGATCTTCAAATGTTCTTTTTGACTATGAAAGCTATATACCACTCCTCTTGAATTTGTCATTCCTGACATAGTAAACCAAATATTGGTTAAATTAAAAATGACCAATACCAGTCCATTTCAGCTTATTAATGCCTAGGATATCAATCTCTATGCATTCCATTTCATTTTTGAAAATGTCTAATTTTTCTAAATTCATACTTTCTACATTTTATGTTCTGGCTATTAATGAATGTTTGCAGCTTGTTCTCTTCCTTTTGAAGTGTGCCCCATCACAAATGAAGATCCTAAAAGCTTTGCTCCCTTCACATCATTGTGATCCATTCTACTCTGAGGACACAGGTCTTCCCTAGTCCTATTTCGAGTGACTTCCAATCTGGGCTTATCTTCCAGCACTGTAGCTGATAATGTTCCACTGCTAGTCATAATGTTTCCACCTTTCAGCACTACATCTGACAATTTTCAGCTGCAATTCATAAGGCTCTCAGTGACTAAACATTCTGAAGTAGCCCACCTTTCCTTCTTCCTAGTGTGTCCTCCATATGTTGTTGTTAAGTGCGTCAAGTCAGTGCTGACCCATAGTGACCCTGTA